ATTTCATAAATCTGAGATAGTAAAGCATAAAATAAAACCGTTATTGCATGCTCCGTATGCAATAACTATATAGTATTTGATGAATTTGGTTCTAAAAGAAAGGGTTCGAATGGAAAATGTGTAAATTGCAACCGATATAACACTTCAAGAGCTTAGTGTCAGGTGTGTGATCCTCAGAAGGCAATACAAGGATAGACAAGTGGAAACAAGAATGTCGATGATAGCATTAAAGGATTTCAACTCAATGATACAAAATACGATGATGTAATCGAATGGATTCCTTTTAACAGATTGGATAATATCCAAAAGGATGGAATAAATTTTTAACAACCTGGTTAGATGGAATTCGATATGTAGATAAATTTAAGAATGAAGATGAATATATATGTCTGCAGTCACGTATATTATCATATAAAGTGGAGCTTAAACCACTAAATAAATCGTCAAATTCAATAGACGTGTTAAAAGAAGTAAATAAATTTGGTTTTACTAGATATAATATTTATGGAAAATGACAAATTGCAACCGTTATAACACATCACCAGCGTGGTGTAGTTCAGAAGACAGTACAAGGATGGACAAGTGGAAACAAAGAAATCGATGATTGTATTAAGGGATTTCAACTTAAAGCTACAAAATATGAAAATGTAATTGAGTGGATTCCTTTCAGCAGATTAGATGATATTCAAAATGTTGGTAATAGATTTTTTGCAACGTGGCTAGATGGATACGATATTTAAACTACGAACATGGTAAAAGAACATACCATCATATAAAGTAGAGCTTAAAACATTAGCTAGCTCATATAATTTAACAGATATGTTTAAAGAAGTAGGTTAAAATATTTAATTTTAAAGAGTTGGCTATTTGTAATTTATATGCAAAAATACTCAAATTTATTTAATGCTTTCAATTTGTTAAATTTTTCAAATTTTTGGTTATTAAAATTGGCGTATATTCCCATAAAAGTCAATGTGGATGGAAATTTGGAACTAATCAAAATGCTCGTTGGAAAATATGCCATACGTATTAATAACGAAAGATTTAAGTGATGACTTCGAAAAAAATGGTAATAAATATTAAACATCTGTAGATATATATCTGAAATTTTAGTAGTTTATAGGAATTTTAAAATTATTTTTTCATTATTATTCAACATTAAATAACTTAAATTTTAGCAGCAGTGTAATCAATTTTATTTACTATATTAATAAATGTTATGTAAAAAAAAAACATGAGTAAATCATGAAAAAAAAAGATCTAAAAAAAAAATATGATGTTTCAAAAACAGAAAGATATGGCGTTTTCAAAATCAAAAAACAAAGATGTTTTAGAAACAATAAGAAAAGATCCATGATTTTAAAAACAAAAAAAATTGTTTTTAAAGACAAAAAACAAAAGATGTTTTAGAAACAATAAGAAAAGATCCATGATTTTAAAAACAAAAAAAAGAACTTTAAGATTCCTTAATAAATTCTTCAATATCCTCTAACTCTCTTCTAAGTTCGTTGTTTATATTCTCGAGATTTCGGATTTTACTTTGAAGATCGGATATTTGTTGATCTTTATCGTTCGTGATCCTTTCAATTTCATCGAGTAATTCAGTTCTAACATTTTTATGTTCCTCGATAAGATCCATATTTGTTTCTTCAAGACGTCGTATTTCTTCAATATAATATTTTTTTTGACGTTCGAGTAATCGTTTTTCTCTTTGAAAATCGGACTCGCTGGTGATTTCATCACTAATGGACTTCTTATAATTTTCAAAGAGCTCAATGGCACCATCACAAATATCATTAATATTTACGGTTGAACGTTTTTTAAGTCGTTGAAGATATTTAATGTATTCATGTAAACTATGTAAAATTTTTCCTCTTTCAGTTTTTGGTTTTCGTGGCATAATTACAGAGTTAAGGTATGAATAATAATTGTGATGATTGTTGTGATGATCCCTCAATTTAAATTAAAAGTGAACGTACACATGACTATAAATACTTTAAATTGAATTGTCATAAATTGTAATTTCGTGACTATAAAATAAAATTCATAGGCAGACATTCGTATGATTGGCAGTTTAAATCAATTTGATTTTACATTATTTATACAGTTTAAAGTACTTTTTAATGTTGGGTTCTTAATACCTTTGAATTAATTAAAGTTGGAAGTATCGATGGACTGAATGTTAAATCTGATAAACATAATCGTGGTAGCAAATCGACATGTTACTCAGAACCGTCAAATGATTTATAATCTTAATGGAAAAGCAATATAAACCTAAAAACCGTGTGTTAAATTTGAAACCTGGTGATTCGGATTCCTGATATTGGTAGGCTAAAAATGGATGCGACTCATAAGCAAGTTTGGAATTTTGGATACATGGTTTTCAGCAAACGAATTTAATTAGCCACTACAAATAATTAGATCCAACCAATCAGATCTCATAAAGGTTAATTTTATTGTAAGAACGATTTTTAAAAATATTTAGGTGTATTTTTTTAGACTTTTTTTTTAGAATTAGACTAGGATTTAATGTTAAATTTTATAATAAAAGAGTATAGATGGGTTTTAGTAGGGTTTATATTTTTAATAAATTAAGGCCCCAGATTTCACCATCCGCAAAATTTATTACACGATTAAAATAAAATTTTATTATATTTTGTATATATTTTTGACTTTAATTACTATTTTATTTCTAGTAAATTTTTAAGATTTTTAATTCTTAAGCTAGATAATATACAGATTTTATGTCTCCAACCAGAATTTCAATATCATCATATGGGAGACAGTATTGTAGTAATAGTGCTTAAGTAAATGGCCGCCCGGTCCTATTCACTAACTTAATTTATACTGTCATTTCGTAAATGGTCACCCAGCCCAATTCATTAATTCAAAAGCAGGCCTATTCGTAGATTCTAGATAAAAAAGTGTAGAAGTAGATAACTTCCCTTTAAATAGTTTCATGAAAGGATATATAATACTACCAAATAACCCTATCATATTTTAAAATGGTAATAGATTAGTACAATTAATCCAACCAATAAAGCTTGAGGTTCGGAGTAACTCTTTTTACAATCACTTTATTGTATCTTCAAATGATTGTTAGAAATCGCAATAATAACCACACAATCACCTGAAGCTGCCCGTACACCAATCAACAAATCTACGAATAACCTGAGTATTATCTAATCTATTAAAAGGAATATATCTTTGAAGTTCTTAGTGAAATCATCGGCATCCATTTCACTTGTCCATCCTTGCATTATCTTCTTAGAGTCATACATTTTGCAAATGATAATTATATGTTCATCTGAAATAATTCAAATTCAATCTACTAGAAACCCATAATCAATCTTATGAATATTACCTAATATATTAATGGAATCCACTCAATTACATCATAATGAGCGCTGCTGAAATTATTTAATCAATAATCGACAACTTTATCTCCAAGAAATCTAATGAAAAACGAAAAGAAGAAAATTGATCAATGATCTTTCCTTATGTTGCCTTCCAAGAATCGCATTTCATATGAAGCAATTAAGAGAATTTTCTAGCGTATATCGCTCTCTGTTCTGTATCATACCTACCATTCAAATTATCTCTGAGGTCGAAGTTACTTGCTGTGCCTATTTTGCCGCCCTATGTTATGGTAGCAAATATTCCTTTATTCCTCTTAGTACGGATATTATCTTATCTATTGAAGAAACCAATCAACTACATTTTCATAAGTACGGCTATAAGTTGAACTTCTCCCTTTGAGTGTTGCATGCTGAAATAATTCTAACAGGAATCTACAAATAGGTAAAATCTTAACAAGTTATTAGCAAATTACCAAAAACGGAAATATCTGCACAAAAATACGCACTTTTTTTGAAAATTTATAACAATAAGTAACTAAAGCCCTACCTACCTATAGATATTTTAGGGTTTAATTCTAGCCAGGTCGCTAAATCTTCAATTCATTGAAAAAATATACACATTTACATCTTTACAAGCGTAGTTTAAGTTGAAATTTGTGATACAATCATCATTCCCACTGGTCCATCTTATGCTGTCTTCTGAGTAGTATCGCATGCTGAGATGATTCTAACCAGGTTGCTAAAATTCGTCACTGATTTTATAAATATTAACTAATCTATTAAAAAATCCATTCCATTATATATTCATAAGTACAGCCTTGAGTTGAATTCTCTAATACAATCATAGACAACCCCTTATGTTGCCTTTTGTTTGAACATCACATGCTGAAATGATTCTAACAAGGTCGCTAAAAATCCATTATCGATCTTCTGAATATTATCTAGCTTGAAATGGTTCTGACCAGGTCGATAAGAATTCATCACGAACTTATAAATGTTATTTAATCTATTAAAGGAATTCACTAAGTTGCGTCTGGGCGCATGTTTGACGTTAGTACAGTAGTATTGGGCAATTAGACTCACTTTGTTCTACTAGACTTTAATAAACAGAGTATTATAAATTTCAGTGGAATCTATGAGTCCAATTTACAGTACCTATAAGGGTGACAACACCAGTTATATTAATTAAACTTTCAATATGTTATAAGAAATACAGTACACCCATAGCTTGAATAATTGAACCTCTTACCTCAAATATTTTGAAATTAAAACAAGTATATAATATCCAAAGTAATAAATTCTATACTATTTATATGCATAGTAGGTAATAAATAATCTTGATACTTACTAAGGACGTTCTCAAGCACCTAAATTCATATGTTGGAGCTCGATTTTTAATTAGTGAAAAATAGGTTAGAGTTCAATATCGCGATGAAAAAAGATGGTCTCTGACCATTTTTTTATTTTATCATAGAAGTATACTTATTTGATAAATATAATCCGCATTTCGCAACCTGGGTCTTTAGCAAAATTATTGCAAGTTGATCGTAGTACTTGTACACGATCTCGATCATTGGCCAATAACATAGAGATGTTTGAGAGAACCCTAAATTAAACCGAATAAAATAAATTTAAAGGTACTACGTGAGTAAACATTTATAAACGCGAGTAAAAAAAAAGGCTTTAGTTATATATACGCGATCCCAAAAAAAATGTTTATATTGGTATTCTATTATTTTGTCTATTATTAGTATATTATTATTTATTTTATTATTATTTTTTTTATTACAAAGTTGGGATACTAAAATAGGAATTTTATACCTTGGTACAAATTTGTACCTATTCATTCAAGCCAGGTGCGATTTGTCCCTAGTCGACTAATCCAGGTGCAATTTCGCACCATATCGTTCCTCTTATTCCAAATTTGTTGAAATTAGCATCTAACAAATATAATATGTAGAATAGCAGAAGTTAGTAAAAGACATTCATGTACGCAGTAAAGGTCAAAAGTATTTAAGACCTATCTTTTGCTCTCCAACTCGTAAGAATTCTTGACTTCGAAATCTTCTTAGTAGAAGTTGGTTCTCTAGTAGTTATTTCTCTTGAACTTTGATCCGTTCATAATAAATCTAATAAGTCGTTTATAATAAAAA